GCCCCCGTGGGCCCCCCCCGGGGGCCCCTCAGGGGCCCCCTGAAGAAGTTTTGGGGGCCCCCTAGGCGCCCCCTGAGGAATTTCCGAAAGAGTTTCTGGGGCCCCCTGGGGGTCCCCCTGAGGGCCCCCTAAAGAGATTTTGGGGGCCCCCTGGGGGCCCCCTAAGGGTACTTAAGGGGCCCCTGTACCCAGGGTATCTTTACTGGGGGCCCTGGCGGGTGCTGCAGCAGCAACTGCTGCAGCAGGACCAGCTGCAGCAGCAGCGAGGGCAGCAGCAGCTGCTGCTATTAGGGGCCCTCCAGGCCCTACGAAACCCTCAGGGGGCCCCCAAACCCTAAACCCTCATTAAAAGAACTTTGTTGTGGACTTCTCAGAGAAGGGCCCCCTAGGGGCCCCTCAGGGCCCGTTTAGAGCAGCAGCAGCAACAGCAGCAGTAGCAACAGCAGCAGCAACAGCAGCAGCTCTGTGGGTCTCCCCCAGAGGCTCTCTAGGAGCCCCCTGGGGGCCCCTTATGGGCCCCCAAAGGGCCCCTCAGGGGCCCCCTGGGGGCCCCCAGGGGGCCCCTGGTATTTAGGGTTTATTTAATTGAATTTGGGAGAAAAGGAAAAAGAAAATATGAAGAAGAAAACTCAAATTGTTTTTGCTGCTGGTGTTAGTTTAAAGTGGTGGCTGCTGCTGCTGCTGCTGCTGCAGGAGCAGCAAGTGCTACTGCTCCAGCTGCAGGAGCTGCTGCTGCTGCTGCTCTCTGCACAAAGAGAGGCAGCCTAGGAGAGCAGCAGAAGTAGGGCTGGGCCTAAACCATAAACCCTAATTAATTAGGGTTTAGGGCTTAGGGTTTAGGGTTTAGGGTTTACAGCGAAGCGGCTGCGCCACGGCTGGCTGAGCAACGATTATTAATTTACTTTTGCATTTTGAGGTTTATTTATTTATTTTTATTTATTTGTTTATTTATTTTTATTTATTTTTTTATTTATTTGTTTGTTTATTTATTTATTTCTATTTGTTTACTTTTATTGTTTCTTTTTCTCTTTTGCTGCTCCTCTCTCCCCGCTGCGTCGTC